TTATGGCAATTATTCAGCTTAGAACTGGGATGAATATTAAAGTATTAAAATATTTTATTGCACTTCACCTTTATGTATTAGGTATGATAGCATACTCTATTTCTAGTATTTTGTGAATAAATTCTTACACATTTTGACTATTTAGTGTTAGTCAAAATTTTTTTCAGTGTATTGAAATTTCCTACTAGAAATTTTTAATTTAATACTTATACAGTATGTTAGGAATGTTATCACAATACTATTTTTCAAGTGACTCAAACATTGCAGTGAATTCTAGTATATTTAAAAAATTAGAATTTAAAAAAATTTTACATTTTCTTTGTACTGTTTTGAGACAATGATTAAAACTGAACATCAGTGTCACTTTAAATTATTAATGAATGTAGAAATAGTTTTTGGTTTGCTACTTTCAAAACTAATTATAAAATCTTGTGATGAATAAAATTCAAATTAATATAAAAATGCAATATTGTTTGCAGTATAAGGAATAAATTTGATAGCCATATTTCTTCAGATGAAATTGTTCCAGGCTATCTATCTGCAGAATATAAATCTGAGATCAGAGAGTAAGAAACAAGTTTTAACCAGTTTAGTCATGGTCCATGAAGCAAAAGAAGAACAGAATCAAATTTTTAAAATTTTCGTGAACTGGAATGATAATCAGAATGGCAAAAATTAAAGTTCAAAGCCCTACTAAAAAAAAAGTACTACTACCACACTGATTCTTTCATCCAATTTTTATTGTATGCTCATTGTCATGCAACTTTGCACTACAAATACAATGATGAAAAATATAGTAAAATAGTAAGCAAAGACAGACTTCTGCTTTAGAGAGTTTGGAGAGTTCTGGATGGGGGTGGGGGAGAAAGGCATTTATTAACCAAACACAAAAGTGTAAAATTACAACCACATTAAGTGCTGCAACATAAAAGTATATGATGTCCTGAAAGTGTATATGCATTGAGGGCAAATCAGGATGGTGGCGATTATTTTTTAAGGGTAGATTTTCATTATAATTTAATTGCTTGGCTAATCAATGAATACTGTTATTATATACATATTTTTTAGTTAAAATTGCATAAATACCATTACAAAATTAAACTCTAAATATGCTCACAATTACAAATTATTTTGTCTATGTTCTCATCCTAGTGACTTGGTAGGTAAGCTTTAAGGTGGAGAACCAAGGTTCAGGAATGATTTTAAAAAACACAAAAATCCACCTGACTTGCTTCTGTAAAGGGCTGTATTCTGAACCTCTCTCACTTCTTTAGTAATACACATAATATCCCTATTGGGATGCCTTTATCCTCAGGGACCCCTCCCAAATCCCCTCAATTCTTCCTTAGTCCCTGAACATGATTTGCTACCAAAACATCAGCTAACTTTTTGATTTTCTAAAGAGATGGAGTGAAGTGGCAAGGGATGAAGTGGGACTTCTTTGCTACATTACTCAACAGTTTTGGCAGAAAGGTTACTGAGTATTTTATGTCCTGAAGCTAACTGTGACTAGGAGAAAGATGGTTTATAAAGCAGGGAGGCCATTCACAAAGCCAAAAGGACTATCTCAGGGAGTTATTGTCAGGGAGTAATTTAGGTAAAATTAGGTGTTTGTCCAAATTTAAACATAGCTGTTTATTCATAACCAAACTCACTGTCATCAAGTTGGATCTGACTCAGTGACAACTTCTTGGGTTTCCAAGGCAGTATCACTACGGAAGTAGATTGCCCAAACTTGCTTCTGATGTTTGCAGAAAGTTAATCCATAGCCACATGTAAAGATCAGAGCCCATTCCTTGCATATGCCTTTATGTCTTAATATGAAAATTTATTCAGTACTGTGATTTGGGGAAAAAAAATTATAAAATAAAGTTATATACAAAAAAAAAAAAAAAAAAAAAACCCATTGAGTCAAATTTCTGCTCACAGCAACCCTATAGGACAGAGTAGAACTGCCCCATAGGGTTTCTAAGGCTGTCAATCTTTTCAGAAACAGACTGTCACATCTTTCCCCAGTGGAGTGGCTGATGGGCTCAAACCACCAACCTTCTGGTTAGCAGCCAAGCATTCAACCATCTGTGCTACCAAGGCTCACAGTACTGTGATAAACCAAAAAAAAAAAAAAAAACAAAAACCAAACTCACTGCTGTCAATTCCAACTCACAGTGACCCCTCCTTGGCTGTATCTCTATGGAAGTAGACTGCCCAGTCTTCCTTCCTAGGAGTGGCTGGTGAGTTCTGGTTAGCAATCCAATGCTTTAGGCACTAAGACACCAGAGCTCCCACTACTGGAACAGTGTGAATAAAAAGACACAAGCTCTACAAAAACAAACACTATACCTCTAGGCACTACCTTCTAAGTTAGAGCTCTGTCCTTCCTCTCACATGGCTTCTCTGCATGGCCACCAAATGTAGATTTCCAATGATCAAAGAGAAAGCAGCAGCAACACTTGCTGCCCAAACTACAAAATCCTAACATGTCATCCCACTATTTCAAGGCAGATATGAAGAATGAGGTTTCTTCAATGCTCAAATGCTCATTAAGTGAGCATTTTTCTAGAAAAAGCCTAAGACTGGTAAATGCCTTTGGTGAAAAGCTCAAAGTTACAGGGTCAAAGAGACTACCATTTGATAATGGCTGAGAATAACAGCCACTAAAAGCTAAAAGTCAAAGTACATCTCAGCTGTATCTCCTTCCTAGATTTGCCTCTTCCCTTTCCTATCCCTTTTAAGTGCCTCCTTATCACAGAGAGTAAGATTCTGATTCCCACTAACAGGAGTGAAATTAGGACTGGGATCTGGATATGGTAACTCCTTCTCACTCTTTCCCTAAACCTATCTATCTCCAAAGGGAAGTGGAACTTAACTCAGTGAACAGGCCTAAAAATTAAGATAAACTGGCATTTTAGATCCTGCGTTCTCTGAATTCCTGTGGATGGCATTCTAGATTGGAGAGGGGGTAGTTCTCTAGAGAAACAAATATATCTGTGAAGCTCACCTGGCTTTAAGCTCTTTTATGGTGCACCTTCTGAGACATCTGGTTTCCAGACCAGAAAAGTACATTAAACACAGGCTTCAGTTGAAAAGGCAGCCCTAGGAAGATTATTCAGGACAGCCTAACCCCGTACACATTTAGTGCTGGGATGGAGAGAATGATCTTCATCTTACAGAAGAAATGAAATACAAAATCTGTGGCATGGTGAAGTAACTTGTCCCAAATCACAGCAAGGCAAACGACTGAGTCATATTTAAGGCTCTAGCTCTCCCAAACCTGTACCCTTCCCACAACATGATGAAGCCAGGATGACTCCTAAGCTGACATTAGTCAAAATTCTCTAGAGATTAAAATCTTCCAAAACTTAATCTAGGGATTCTGTAGCTCTGCAGACAAGAAAAAAGAAATATGAAGTAGTAGGAGAAAAGACCAGCAACTTCCTATTACTCTTGAGAAGTAGGTAGGGTAGCAGGGCTCTGAAGCCTCTGTTGAGCCAGATTACAAATTGCTGACATTAATGACTAAGGACATCAACACAAAAATGAGAGAGAGATTAGAAAATCTGACGACTGAACTTTCTGAATCCCAAGAGGACCCCCTCAGCAAAACCCTAAGTGTCGTTGGGGAGCTCAGTTCCCCCGGGCAGAGCCAGCACAAGGGTGTATAAAAAGCTTCGTGACAGGAAGATACCAATACCAGACTACCACTGGATATTCCCTACCCATCCAGGAAGCACTGGGGCACACATTATGTAATTTAACATTCTGACGATACTGGAAGTAGCTCTGATAGGTGGAGAAAGAATGGTGGGAGGAGTGGCAGTGAGGGTGAGGACAGACAACTGAGAAGCAGTGGGAGTTCTTTGTTCTAGTTTTCCAGAATTCAAATGTGTGTGGTTTCAAAACAAAAAATTCAGAAAGAAACATGAGATTAATGCATTTATTCCAAGTAATTAACAACATTAAAAATAAAGTTAAACTTGTCCAAGCCAACACATTAATTCTTTCATCTTTTTAACAAAATGTACAACCCAAAAAATCACACTATGGTGGAAATAACTTGGGAAAGGGAGAGGTAGAGGAGATACACGAGTTTGTGCAACAGAAAATGAGTCTGATCCCAATACAAGTTTCAGATCGTCTACTTCTTCACAACAGAAATGGCTGCTAAATGTTACTGATCACAATACAATGAACAAAAGGCCATTTTGAAAAAGTGACCCAAAAAGTATTATCTGCTTCTGGCATTGAGTCATGAATAAGCCTTACCGATTTGCTGTCTTCCAAAAGTGAGTCTGCTAGATTTTCTTCCATGTTTATTGGGGCCATTTCCAAACAGGTTTGTGGTTAGCAGGATCATCTCCAGCAAAGGCAACACAGTAAAGGAAGTAGAGGGGCTGACATGCCATAGGGAAGTAAACCGTAAACAAAAGAGCTACTCACGCTGTATTTCAAACAATGTTAAGGCAGGCCCATCCAAACTGGAAGCCTAGGAGATTAACAATTCTTCCTTCAATGTAGTTTTCCATTTCAGAAAGCTTTGTGGTATTTCTCCCAGAGATCCATCAGCTGCCCAGGAAATTGGGTGGGAATACAACACAGTAATTGGAAAAGTCAGCTATCTCCCTCCACCCCCACATTTCAGAAATGGCAGAGTCAAAGCCAAAATACAATCAAAGCACACTATGTGGAGAGTCAGACAGACATTTGATTTTAATGACAAAGAGGGAGAAAATAAATCGTCAAAAAAAAAAAAATTAACAAAATTTTTTTTACAGTTAAGTATAGAAGTAGTTATGATTGATTTTCTGGTATTTTAAGGGAAAAGGAATAAAAAGGAGGTAAAGTTTTTAGCTTCCATGGACATTTACTGTTAAAATGCTGACTGTATCTCTTGGTGTAGGTTCCAGAGGAGATAGCCAAATACACAGCCCTGGGACATCTGGGCACCTGATTTCTAGAAGCCAATTTGATTCATCCACAAGTAGCTCTGGGTGTATGTTCCTTCAGTTGTGAACATTGGATTCCGTGAGGTCTTGAATGACATCAACTGTAGCTTCTTGTGCAGGTGTCTGCTGAAGGATCATATTATTTCCAACCACCTGCTCCCTTGGAGGGGACCCTGAATTGTTCTCATCTTCTTGAGGAATTTCTACCTCTGTAATAGAAGCATTCGGCATTTCTAGCTGTAGTGGTCCCATCTCCAAAGAGCTACACTCAGGAGGATTACTAGGCTCAGAGAGAGGAGAACACAGCTTATCTTTCTGAATTCCAGATGTCCGTGTGACAAAGTCAACAAGGTCTGGAAGGCAAGGAGATGGCCCAAGGCATGAAGAGTTCATTGTCTCTGATTCCAGTCCAAGTGACTCTTGTTTCTCTAACTGGGAAGTTGCTTCTACTTCCTCAGGCATCATTCCTCCTGCTAACAGGTCAAGTGCCTGGTGTGTTACTTCTACGCTCCCCAAGCCAAGGTCAACATTGTCCATAGGCAGTCCAGTTTTCAAAATGTTAGGAATGATCCTATTTCTGGGATTAGATGAGCTTTGCTCACCCTCTGCCCCAAAGTTAAGCACCAAGGGTTCCGAAGATGGAAACCCAGAAAAGGATGGGATTGGCTCAAAGTCAGCAGGACTAGAGGGATTACATTCTACAAGTGATGTTGAATTTTCTTGACACACTTTCTGAGACACAGCAGTTGGAGCTCTATGTGCTGGTTCTACTTGAGTATTACAGGTATCAACACACATATCTCCTAGATTCCCCAGGGCAGCAAGCTCCTCTAATTTTAAGTCTGTACTTTCAAAGTCTTCTGAGGTCTTGCTTTCTATTTTCACTGTTAATTCTGGGTGGACATCTCTTAGCTCCATTTTACCCTGAAAACCTTTTGATCTTTCCCTCTTGAATTTGAGATTTCTGTACCTAGATATTCTGGAAGCTGACTCTATCCATTCCTCACCACCAACTGAAACTCCTTGTTCCTGTGGACTATCTGTAAAACACGTATCTGATCTGACTGAGGACTGAAGAAGCAATCTTGAGACAGAATTTCTCACAGGTTTCTCTTGTGGATTCTGGAGTAAAGACCTATCTCCTGATGGAAATGAGTCTCCTTGTGCCTTTGTAGAAGAGAGAGCCTGTGCACTCAATTCGATCACTACTTTACTTTGAGTTTCATTTCCTGTCATCAATTTATTGGGCTGTTCAGCCTCTTTGTCAGTAATCAGCAACTTGGGTTGTTCTTCTCCTCCCTCCCCCATGTATCTGTTTCCATCATTCAAATTAGAGTTCTCTAAGCTGTGAGGCTTAATGTTGATACCCATTCCCTTTTCTACCATCCCCTCAGAGAGCTTTGCTCCCATTTTTTCTAGTTCAGTGTTTGTCTCTACCTCACCTTCTTCACAATTCTCAGACTGGTGGAGCTGTTGGCTTTCCTTATCCTGGTTACCAGATTCTATGAGGTGGATTCCCACCAATTTCTGAGATCCCATAGTATGACAGTGTATATCTGACAGCTGAGGGGCTAGCTCTACACCAGGCGGTCCTGGCTCTCCCAGGTCAAGACTGATTTTTCCTTCTGGTGACATATCATTATCAGTGTCACTCTGGAAGGAGCCAGACGTCCACATGGCCAAAGTATCGGTCTTTTGGGTAACAGTTTCATAATGCCTGCTTTGGCACAATCTTGTCAGAGGCTGTAGAAAGCCATGGTTGCTGTCTCTGCCTTTTGAGTCCATGTGTTCCACAACTGACCAGTTCCCAAGGGACACCAGAGTTTTTGCAATAGGCTTTTCAGGGTTACCTACTAAAGGAGCAGTGACTAAACCCTTGTCTTTGGGCAACTCCTCTTGGGATATACTGCTGTTCAAAGTAGAAATAGAAGAGCTGTCTGTACCTTCTGCCCTAGAGAGGTTGCTATTTTCCCCATTGGCCAATGGACCACTGTTCAGCTTAGTCTCAGGGGCCCCTTTGCCACCACTGCTGTAGAATATGTCATACAGGTCCTTAGCATTGGCTGTGGCTAAGCATGAATTTCGCTTCTCCAGTTTTTTTGCTTGTTCACTGAAGACACTTGAGAGGGGTGGAGGAGGACGCACTAACAAAGAGAATAGGGCCTGGTCCCGGTCACTCTCACTCACCCCAGGAGCAGTCTCATCGGAAGGAATGGCAGCTGGCTGTGTTGAGGCTACGATGGCTACAGGCAACACTGGGTTCAAAATGTTAGGAGCCAGGAAGCCAGAGCTGAGAGTCTGAGATACAGCTGGGTTTGACTTTACTGGAGCCAAGACAGAATTTGCTTGAGCAGAAGATGGGGCAGCTGGATGAGGTATTACTGGGGGTGGTGGAGGTGGTGGTGGAGGGGGTGGAGGAAGAGGTGGTAGCATTTGCTCAGGTATATGGGATGGCTCATTCTTTTCAGCCAGCACTGTTTTTTCCTCTGGAGACGCTTTTAGAATCACCTCTTCTCCTCCAAATGCTTTGGAGATAATGTCTGGAGGCAAAAAAAGATCAGATGAAGACTCTTTGACCACTGGCAGAGGCTTAGCAGTGGTTCCAGAGGACTTGATGGATAGAAAGGTGTTAAGAGGAGCTGGCTTGCTCACTGTGGCTGTACCTGACTTGCGGAGTACTGTGGATGGGATAGGCAGGTTGGGTCTGATCTTAGTCAGAGTTGAAGTAGTCACAACAGGCATCCAAGGGCTGGTATGTGCTACAACAGTCTTCCCAGAGAGCTTGATTTTGATGGGCTTTGCCTTCCCAGCTTCAGCTTTGCCATCTTCTTTGTCCTTACTGCTCTCCACAATCTCTTCCTTAGGGATACTTGGAGCTACTACTGAACTTTTTTCCTCATCTTTTTCTGGCTTCTTCCAACTGAATTTTCCAAAAGAGGAAGAGGTTGGTGATTCTTTCTTTACCTCTTCTTTTAATTGGACTTTGAGGCTAGGCTTCCTTTTATTTTCAGCCTTTTCAGGGGAGTTCCCATCCTCAGAGAGTTGGTCCTCTAATTCCTGAGAGACCTTGTCATCCCCCTTTACTTCTTTCATGATCTTTGTCTTTTTTTCTTTCTTCTCTTCCTTTGGTTTCTCACTAAGTTTGCGCTTAAGTTCACTCTGCCGTCGCCGTTCTGTCTCCAGGACCACAGCCAAGCCAGCTTGGCGGTCCAGATTCCGCCGCTCCTCATATAATGGGTTTTCATCCACATATTTCTGAGAAAAGAAGAGATAAATGCTCAACAACTGGTCAACATACTAAAAAGGAAAAAAATCTTGACCCCACAACTGTTAGAATTAATCTAACAGAAAATCTCTAAAATTATCTTCCTCAAAGATATAGACAGTTCCATCAATTCAGCAGCTCTCATTAGGAGAACTTCCTAGTGGTTATATGGAAGGTATGTCAATGACTTTTTCTGGCTCTGAAGATGATGTCTGACAAAGTCAAAAGGATTGTTGCCAAAAGTGGGAAACTTCACAGGCTGTTAAAAAGACAAACCTTGTATTTTTCATTGTGTTGGTGACCTTTCACGTGTTGTTCTCCAGAAACTGGATCCCCAAAAAATTCCTCACAGAGCTGGCAGTAATATCCAGTGATGGGAATCAGGAACTCAGAGCCTGGAAGTAGTAGAAGAAAAGTTAAGGAAATAAGTCCTATCCACCGAGATTCACAGCTACCAAAGGAAATTCTACCTCGCTTTGCATTAAAATGGTATGGAAGAGGGGACCTTACCCACTTTGGAGTAAAAAGGCAGCATTTAGATGAATCTCAATGGCACAGTCTTCCCAATCTTAGGCTTAAACTCTGAATCTGTTCCTTCTACCTTTTGGCAACACTAACTGATTACTTCAGGAGTCTTCTCTGGCAGACACATTTCTGTTGTTGAATCCCCTCAGACTCCAACTAGCACTTAGCATCTCAGGAGGTTTAAAAACTACTCCCAGTTAGCTTAGTATCACCTGTATGAGCATCTCTCATGTTGGTATTAATTACTCAGGAATTTATCCTGTCCAGCTCTAAAGGATGTAGCAGCATAGACTATTTGTCAAGGTAAGAAACTGCTCAGTTTAAAGACAAAAGAACTTTCTACTTCTCAATTTACCCCCAATAACAACTACTCAAAATATTTTGTAGTTCTTAGTTGAAAAGGTAGTTAAAATAAATTACTGTCTTTTTTTTTTTTTTAAATCTGGATTTCAAATAAATAAACCAATAACAAAGACAGTTATTCTGCTATATTTTAGAATGGTATATGTATGTTTTACATCTGTTAGCAGACTTTTTTGGTTACATGGGTAGACATCATTTCTTCAGGACCTACTAGACTGGTTTGCACAAAGAAGGCACTCTTATAGCTTTGTTAAAAGGAATGGCTATGTCTCACCCTATGCTGCTTCTTAACACCTCAGTTCAGGGATACTTCTTCCTTGGTAAGAAAGCTACAAATGAAGCAGGGAAGAAAACATACCTTTTGCAGGAACAGTTATCTTGTCAGTACGCTTTATAGCATCTTGCTTGGTCTCAGTCTGGGTCTTTGAAGCCCAAGGTCTGTTGTAGGGATCCAGTGTCTATTTGCAAGAGGCAGAGGTGCTCACACAACCGCACTAAAAGCCCAATAACCCACTTTTCTCTCTTTTTCCCTGACATATTAAAAGACCAGGGACCACAAGCCCCAGCTACCCACCCTTACTCCCCCTCTGCCAACTGTTTAAATGGAAACCACCTGTGGAAAAGGTAAACATATGTTAGAGCAAGTACTACAAATGAAAAAATTAAACAAAAAAATCAGGTACTCAAGGAATCAAAAGAGGTAAAAGCCTCACTTACACTTGTCATGGTGTTTAGCTATAAGGCAGGTCCCCTGGACAGAGAGCCCTGGGGATGGTCCTTTGTTGGTATCTCTTGCTTCTTCAGATTGGGACTCCTGCTCATATGAAAATGTTTTATTTTCCAGCTTTGTGATGTAAATGGGGGCACAGGAGTTTCCGAGTAAAGAGGAAGAAAAGTTGAAATAACAAAGGGCAGGACACTTACCTGTGTGTGCTTCTTATTGTGCATATGGGTGAAGAAGTCAAACATGGTTCCACAAATGGTATTGCAGTCTTTGCACCAGTGATTGCCAGCATCATAATATTCATAGACAGTAAGGGGCTGATCAGACTGCTTAGCAGCTGGTTGCGGGCTCTCAGCAGGCTTGGGGCTCTTAGCACGAAACTTTTCATTGTTTATTTTTGATTCCTAGAGAGGAAAAACTTGCACTAACAAGGAATTCAAGGCAGTCTAGATCTGTCTTCTTGCAGAAAAAGTAAACAGCCTACCACAATAATAAACCAAAAACAAATCCACTGCCATCAATTCTGACTCCTAGCGATTCTATACAGAACAGGGTAGAACTGTGCCTTAGGGTTTCCAAGGTTATAAATCTTTATGGAAGCAGACAGCCACATCTTTCTCCTGTAGAGAAGCTGGTAGGTTCGAAAACACCAATCTTTTGGTTAGCAGTTGAGCACTTAACCACTGAGCCACAAGGGCTCCAACTACCACAATAATAACCCAAAAAACCAAACTCGCTGCCATTGAGTTGATTTTGACCCAGAGACCCCCACTGGGTTACCAAGGCTACAAATCTGATGGAAGTAGATTGCCCCATCTTCCTTCTGCAGAGCAGCTGGTGGGTTTGGACCACTGACCTGGTTAGCAGCCAAATGCCTTATCCACTATGTCACCAGAGCTTCTTACCACCACAACAGAGGACTGTATTTCCAGTACCTAAAGCTGCAGAAAGGAGATCTCTGGTAGCATAGTGCCTAAGGCATCTGACTGCTAATCAAACCCACCAGCCACTCCTTGGAAGGAAGGTTGGGCATTGGGCACTCTACTTCCGTAGTGATACCACCTTGGAAACTCAAGGAGGGGTTGCTGTGAGTTGGATCCGACTCAAGGGCAGTGAGTTTGGTTTTTTTTTTTTTTTTTGGTTAAAGCTGCAGAAAGGAGCCCTGGGTGCCATAGTGGCTAACTTCTCAGGTGCTAACTGAAATGTCAGTGGTTTGAACCCATCAGGTGCTCCACAGAAGAAAGATGCAGCAATCTGCGCTCATAAAGATTACAACCTTGGAAACCCTATGTGGCAGTGCTATAGGGTTGCTATGAGTTGGAATCAACTCGAAAGCACTGGGTTTGGTTTCGGTAAAGCTGCGGAAATTGGGAGAAAATCCAAGGAAAAACTTGTTTCCAAGGCTCAAAGAGAACAAATTAGATTCCATAGTGCTATCATGAAGAATAAATCACTTATTTACTTATATATTCTAGATATCTCTAGAAGAACACTCAAGATTATGGAAATATCTTCCTGCCTCTGGAGACAGGAACTGGAAAACAGGTGGGTAGGAGTCTTTTTACTATATACCCTTTGGCAGATGTTGAATGTATTACCTATACAACTAAAAACATTAGTTAAATCTGAAAATTATAATGATAACTAGGGAGGGAAGTAAAACTAAAATGGAAAGCTAACTGACAGGTTAAGCAAAGCAAATGCAGAAAACAGACAATAGTGAGCTTACTTATCACATATACATCCTAGTATAGAAAACTGGAGAGCAGGGTGGGGTTGTGTATAGATAAAGCAGAAAGTCATCTACATGGGATAACTTAAAGGAATTTGGGTGAAATATTTCTAACTGCCTAAAATACCACCATTAGTATTTTTTAATTAATATGAATCCTCTTATTTTAAAACACAGGAACTCTCCAACATTAAGTTACCAAATATAATCAAAGTTTTACTATAAATTGTTAGCAAGCTAGGGGAATAAAGGAAATGAGAATTCTGCCTAATGTCAGGGAATAAGGCATAGAAAAAAGGTAATTCTGGAACATAGAAAGGGTTAAGTATAAATGGGGTTGTACAGTGGACAAGATGAAGGAAAGGGGCACCTGGAATATGGGTAGGGAGAAATAGATAGGAGGGAGAAATGGAAGCAATTAGGATAGCAAATATAATCATTCACTACTAGTGTCCCATTCAACAGTCACTGAAGAGATTATACTCAGGGAAGAAGTGAGTTCATACACTGCTGGTAGCAGTATTACCAGCCACTACCTTTCTAGACCACCACTTGTCTGTCAGATGGTCACACTGTGGTGGTCTGCATGTTAGTTGCTATGATGCTGGAAGCTATGCCACAGCTATTTCAAATACCAGCAGGGTCACCCAGGGTGGGTGGGTTTCAGCGGAGCTTCCAGACTAAAACAGACTAGGAAGAAGGAAGAGGTGGTCTACTTCTGAAAAAAATTAGCCACTGAAAATCTTACGAATAGTAGTGAAACACTATCAGTTATAGTGCCAGAAGATGAGCCTGTCAAGTTGGAAGGCACTCAAATTATGACTCGGGAAGAGCTGTCCCCTCAAAGTAGAAGTGACCTTAATGATATGGGTGAAGTACAAAGCTTTTGGGACTTTCACTTACTGATGTGGCATGACTCAAAATGAGAAGAAACAACTGCAAACATCCATTAAATTTAGGTAAGATGGATCGACACAGTGGTTGCAACAATGAGCTCAAGCATAGCAATGACTATGAGGATGGCAGGGGACCAAGCAGTATTTCATTCTGTTGTGCCTGAGGTCACTGTGAGTCAAATTCAACTTGACAGCACCTAACAACAACCACCTTTCTGGAGGATAATCTAAGTATATTACACACTTTAAATTTCTATATGCCCTTTGACCCAACAATTCCACTTTTTGGCATTTATCCTAAGGAAACTATTATGTTAAACAATTGATGATTGGTGAATTAAATAAATTTTGGTAGCCACAAAACAACAACAAAAAAACCAATAAGGTTGTTAAAAGTGGTATTATAAAAATCTATTTACTGACATGGAAAGATGTTCATGACATATGAAGAAAAGTAAATAATAAAATATATTTGAGAATCAATAAAGATACATAATTAGACATAAAAAATCAAATGTCATCTTATCCAAAAGACCTTCCCTAACCACTCTAAATAAAATATAGTGTCACTCTATGTCCCTTATTGTGTTTGTTTTTTTTCTTCCTAGTACTTATCATTACGTACTCCTCGGAAGGAAGATGGGGCAATCTACTTCCGTAGTGATACTGCCTCAGAAACCCAAGGAGGGGTGGGTCGCTATGAGTTGGGTCTGACTCGAGGGCATGTAACAACAACAACATCATTATGTAACATACACACTTGTTTATTGCCTGTCTTCTCCTAATTCATGAGAACAAGGACTTTGTCTATATTGCTCCCTGGTATATTGCCAATATCTAGGAACAATGCCTGGCATCTTCTTGGTCATCAACAAATATTTACTAAATGAATTAATGAACAGAAGAGGGATTTGGAATAAAACACACCAAAATATTAATAATGGTAGTCTCTAGGGGGAAGAATTATAGGATTGTATGTGTGTGTTTATTTTCCTAAAATGAACACAAAGAGAAAGAAAACCTCAAACCAATTATGCATTTTTGAAGAAAGAAGACATACCAAAGACAGGTAGAAAATAGAGAGTATAAAACAAAACATTCCTTATTACTGAAATGAAAACTAGATTGCAACATATTCTTATTAGCTTCAGAGAACATGAAGACTTAACCACAATCAAGCTGATCAATTATCATGGCGTTGGTGTATAAGAAAAATTCCGAACAGTATGTGTCAACTACAAAGGGCCAAATTTTCAAGCTCCTCTTCCATCAAAGGCCCTGGACTCACTGACCCAGGATAAAAGATTACAGTCCTACCTGACTAAGAAAGAGAACTACTCTTCTAGGAATACATGGAGAAGTTAGAGTAGGTTGACAGAGAATACAGAATATCCTCTTCTCTTACCCCAACATTAAGGGAGCATCTACTATGTGCTAGACATACTGGATGCCATGGGAAGTACAAAGATAAATAAGTTATATTCTTATCCCCAGGAAGCTCTCATTTAGCCTATATGACTATGAGACCAGAAGAACTAGATGGTGCCCAGCTACTACCACTTGGAAGGGGATCTATGTAGGAGATCCTAGATAGAGAGGGATGTGGAACAAAACTCAAAATCATTTGGAGGAATAAAAAAGGGGGGGAACCAGGTTTGCTGGTCCGATAGAGCCTGGTGGAACCACTGAGACTATGGCCCCTAGCTGCCCCTTCAGGTCTGGAATTGAACCCACACCTGTGGCTTCCAGCCAAATAATAGACAGGCATATGAGTTGAACATTTACCTGAGGTATTTACACTCCTTGGAGAGAACAAGCATGGGAGAAAGAAGGGCTGCTTACGCACAGGGAGATAGCTCAGGGGGCAGGAGTGCATGTAGAGATGGACACAGGGAAGAGGTAACTATTGGGAGGAAGTATGAGGGGAGATGTTGCATTGTGCTAAATTGTGGTCAATGTCATGAAACAAAGTGTATGTGAACTGCTGTATGGAAAGTGAATTTGCTCTGTAAATCTTCACCCAAATCACAAAAAAAAAAAAAAAAAAAGAATACATCTAAGAAAACATGTGTAAGGTCTCCACAGGAAAAAATATAAAACTTAATTAAGAAAGAAAAAAAGAATGTACAAATCTAAGTCTCAAAAAGGATGAGTAACTCGCAAAGGACATACTGCTGGTCAAGGCTGAAGATGAGGCAAATTCAGTTCTGACTAAAATAAGACGCTCTCATTTAATGGAAAAGACAGACATGAGAAAAATTCCATGTAAGATAGAATGACTCTTATATAAAAGAAATAATTATACACTGAGTGCTAAATAAGGGCCAGAAGGCTGGCGGTTCAAACCCACCAGCCACTCCTCGGAAAGGTTTGGGCAATCTACTTCCGTAGTGATACTGCCTCGGAAACCCAAGGAGGGGTCGCCATGAGTTGGGGCCAACTCAACGGCACATAACAACAACAACAAATAAGGGTCAACTAAATCCAGACAAGACTCAAAAATTTCTTCATGAAATAGGCAGTATTCAAGTTGGGCCTTAATGAAAAAGGAGACTGGGAGAAAGATTATTTCAGTTAAGAGAACTGGTAATGCAAAATCAGAGAGGTGTAAATAGCACACTGGACATTTTGAGGGCTATTTTGTGCCAGAAACTGAGCTATGTGTTCGGGATTATATTGATCCAGATCCCTTGAACCTTAAAAATCCAATTGGAGGGACGATATAATATAAATAATTATACATGTAATTATATAATTACAACTGTCATAAATGCTAAGAAGGAAATTCATAAGACATTATGACAGTGTATACCAGGTAAATTTAACAATCTAGGGAATCAGAAAAAGGAATTGGGAAAGTAATTTAAGCTGAGATGTGAAGGATGAATATGAGTTACTGAGAAGAAGAGATAAGGGGGAAAAAATGGAGAGATAAGGAAAAAGTGAGGTTTATATGGTAAGCAGAAGGAATAAAGGATGCAAAGGTATTAGAGGGGTGATGCATTTGAGGAATTAAAAGCCCAATACAGAAAACAGAATGTGCAAGGGGAAAAGCAGCATGAAATGAGGTTCACAAGTAGGCAAGGGAATATCACAATCACTGGCTACAATGTGGAGAAAGGATTAAGAGTGTTACAGTATAATCAAGAATTGTAGATGACTTAGATGGCAATGAAAATGAATTGGATGGAGTTGAGACATACTTTGGAGGAAGAACTGGCAGAATGTGGTAAATGTCCGGGTATGGAGCAGTTAGGCAAAGGAAACACAGAAAACGCTTTTCAAGTTTTTGGCATAAAAATTTAAGGATAGTGATTGATAACAGGTAACACTGGAGGAATAAAATGTTGGAGAAAGGGTAACTACAGTCATTAGTTGGAACATGTTTATTTTAAATTATGTATGAGACAAGGAAGTAAAAATGGTGACTAGGCAGTTGAACATTCAGGTTTGGACCTCAGAAGGATGATTTGAGGTACAGTATAAAAACTGAAGTTGTCAGTATGGTATGTGAGCAGAGAACTGGATGAAATGGCAGGATAGAGAGCAAAATTCTGGAGAACTAGAGTAGGACTAAGCCCTGAGGAACTCCAATTATTTAAAGATCAGACAGCAAAAGGATATGCAGCAAGGGACAATAAGCAAGCAGCAGCTAGAATATTACAGGGAAAAGAAATATGACAGAAAGAGACAGAAGAAAACATTTTTAGTAGAGAATGGTTCCCTGTGTCAAATATTGCTGATTTGACAACTGCAATAGGTTCACTGGCTTCAATCGCATGGTAATAATCCTGTTGCTAAACATGAACCCCCAAAATGATATACATAGGCTATGAAAACTGGAAGTCACACTGGAGTGGGTTAAGGAGTAAATGATGGAACTAGATCTTAGATGGCCCTGAAAGCTGAGGATTTTGGATTCAATTTTGTGGTCAACAGGGAACTTCTGAGGTTTCAGGAAGAACACCACAGTGTGATCTATTGTTTCAGAAAGTAACTCTAAAAAGATAAGAGTAAGAGTAGAATGTAAAAGGAAGAGAAGAAAATAGTTAGCTTCTGTAAGAGTACACCAAAACAAAACCAAACTCACTGCCATCAAATCGATTCCGATTCATAGTGACCCTCTTTGAGTTTTCAAGGTGGTAAATCTTTACAGAAGTAGAGTGCCCAATGTTCCTTCCAATAAGAGTACACAGGAGATAAAAAATAAAATAATAGAAATGAAAAAGTTGATTTGTTACCTTGCTGCTGGAGGAGTCTGAAGGGGATGATACTTTTTCTGGGCTCTTAGCTTTTTCTGCTTTTCCAGGCTTCTCTGCAGGCTCTTTACTGTCATTTGAAGACTTTTGGGATTTATCAAAAATGTCAATTCCCAAGATCTGAGCCACTTTGTCAAGTTCAGACTGCTTCTTGTCTGCCTCTTCTGCCTCTTGTTGTAGTTCTGCAATGTCCTTCATAATGTTATCCTGGAGCCGACTCACCTCCACCAGGAGGGGGTCTTTGTGGCCATCCTTCTCCCTTCGTTTCTTACGCAGCATTTCTCCTGAGTAGTCAAATAACAACAGAAAGCAACATAGGGAAGGAAAGGTAAGATAATTACTCTGAGGTCACAATTAGTAATCTACTTAAGACTTTATGGTTACAAAATCTTTCCCCACAAAAGGTCCTAAAAGCAAGTAAGACTCTCTTTCCACATGGTTGGTTTGAGTAAAGCTTCTTCAGAGGTAAAGAATGGATGATTACATTATCTTTTGTGTAGGGTTATTAGCCAAGGATCTATACACAGGCTTCCAGGGCTCTATGAATCCCTAAAATGGTATATGCAAGTTTGTATGCATGCATGTATCCCCAAAATGGTTAATAAATGCTACACCTTTGACTTTAGGGTACAAAGAATTTTTCAGAGAGTAAAAAACATTCAAAACCACATTTTGACTTTATCTGCCTTAAGAGTTTTTCACTAACTCCAGGAACTCTGGTGGTGTGGTGGTTAAAACATTTAGCTGATAACCAAAAGGTCGGCAGTTTAAACCCTCTAGCCTCTCTATGGGAGAAAAATGAGGCAAGCTGCTTCTGTAAAGATTTACAGACCTGGAAACGCTATGGGCTAGTTCTACTCTGTTCTTTAGGGTCACTATGAGTCAAATCGACTTGATGGAAGTAGGGTTGATTTTTGCGGTTTACATTTTGCCTCAGGCTCACTCATTATCTCCCATCCCAAACTGCATGCCCTCATGGATTAATCCTCACAAGATTAGTAAATTTCCAAACCCAATAAAAATAAACTATTTTCCCACCCTCTGTACTTCCATACTAGCCCAAATTGCAGTATAGAGAAGCCTTGTATGTTCTTTCTTCACTGTGTATGTGAATTCCTGAAAGCATAAATGAAGAGATGGAATCAAGTGAGGCATCATGAAACATCTTTTTGTACCAAAAAGTAAGGAAGTGCTCAAAAAATGATGGGGACATATCAAAAGGGGATAGGAGTCAGCTTAAAGGGGCTACCACTGGCCAAAGCTAGGAAAATTTGAGCATGAAAACAAGTAAATAAAGATGTTATGGATTGAACTGTGTCCCCCTAAAATATGTGTTGTAAATCCTACTATACCTGTGGTTATAATCTCATTTGGGAATAGGGTTTTCTTTGTTAGGTTAATGAGGCAGTATTAGTGTAAGGACAATGTCTTAAATAGATCTCTTTTGAGATATAAAGACAGCAGATTAAGCTAGCAGCTACAAGCACAGATGGGTGACTATAGTTGCCATTGACACATAAGGATGCCAAGGAACCAAGAAACAGAAGCTAAAAAGAAACAAGGACCTTCCCCCAGAACCAAAAGAGAGAAAAGCCTTCCCCTAGAGCTGGCACCCTGAATTCAGACTTCTAGCCTCCCAAACTTTGAGAAAGTAAATTTCTGTTTGTTAAACCCATCCACTTCTGGTAATTCTGTTATATTAGCACTAGGTAACTAATGCAAAAAGATTATAACCTATCAAATGAAGAATCCATGAGTTCACAATGATATAAATAAATAAATGGAAGGAGAGCACCTCCTTATAGTACAAAGCCAACTTATAAAGGTAGAAGGAATGATGAAATTTGAAAATCACAATTTAACAATCAACTGATTCAGGCAAGAATCATTAATGAATGCTAAAACTAGTGGGTAGAAGTTTGAGCAGTAATTAAGTATTTTATTTAGCCTCAAAGCACCTCCCCTACAAGATACTTAGTAATTAGAAAGGGTACAATAGTAACTTTACAGTGAGAAACCTGGCACATGGCAATTTAACCAAATGATCAAAGTTACCACCACCAGTAATGAGACAAATCAATACCTGATATGAACTCAGCATCACTTCTGTGATGTTCCTGACAAAAATGCTAATTTGAATTTAATCATATGGAAATAGCAGAGAAACTAAAATTAAAGGGTAGTCTACAAAACATGTAACCTCTCTTCAAAAATGCCAATGTCATGTTTACAATAACAATAACAACAAAAGAGTAGCTGCTGAGATTAATAACAAAGTTCAACAAGACAGAAAATAACAAATGCTGGCAAGGCTGTGGAGAGATTCGGACTCATATACTGTTGGTGAAACTGTAAAATGATTCAACCACTGTGGAAATCGGTATGGCAATTCCTTAAAAAGTTGGAAATAGAAATACTATTCGATCCAGCAATCCCATTACTAAGTATATATCATAAAGAAGTGACAGGCAGGACATGAATACATATATGCACACCCATGTTCATCACAGCACTATTCACAACAGCAAAGAGATGGAAACAACCTAAACGCTCATCAACTGAGGAATGGATAAACAAACTGTGGTACATACACACAATGGAACACTTGCAATCCTAAAGAATAATGTAGAATCTGCAAAATAACATGGATGAACTTGGAGGACATTATGCTGAGTGAAATAAATCAACCACAGAACAAATACTGTATTAGTTCACCATTGTAAAAAATCAAGGAAAAGCTTATACATGGAAGGAAACTTTCTCTGTTAGTTATCAGGGACAGGGGAGGGGGGGAATTCCTAGCTAGGATGGAGGGAAAAAAGTATATAAAGATCTATACCAAAGATTATTAGTGGTTACCAGGGGTAGGAGGGAAGAGGAAAGGGGAAGATTTTGTTTGTGGGAAACTGAGTTTACGCTAATGGTGGTGGAACATTTTAGAAAAAGATAGCAATGATGGTGGCACAACATGAAAAATGTCATCACTGTCTCTGAGCTGTAAATGTGGAAGTTACGTTGGCGAATGTCTTGTGTATGTTTTCACAATAAAAGTAAAAATAAAAAAAAGTAACTGCTGAGGCCACTTATGTATAAGCAAATACCTTATGGGATTCAGTTCCTTGGTTTGGAAGTTTAGGGTTATGATTTCATGGGATATGTCAGTTAACTGGCCTAATAGTGAGTTTAGTGCTTCTGTTCTACCTCCTGGTTTGTTGCGTAGGGTCTTAAAAGTTTACAAGGGGCCATTCAAGGTACAACAATTGGTCTCTATTCACCTGGAGCAACAGAGAAAGGAGAGTCAGGCAGGAGAAAGATATGTAATGCATGGCTAACCACCTATATTAACAATTACCTACACAAGGTGGTAAGAACTGGATGATGCTCAGCTACCACTACTGAACATTTTGATCAAAAACTGCATATAAGAATACTGATCAAAAGGGGAGAAATACAGAACAAGTTTTCAAATGCTCATGGAATCATGATTTTCTAGAGCCATGGAGGCTGGCTGAACCCCTGAAACTACTGCCTTGAGATAATCTTTATACTTCAAATGAAAAATATCTCCTAAAGTTTTCTTAAAATCAAACAATAGTTTACCTTAATTAGTAAAGAACACTGCCTTAAGCATTGAGCTCTTTTAAGAACTATTTATATGGGATCAAATTAACAACAGCAACTCGAAAGATTAGATAAGAATTTTGGAGGGAGTGAGTTTATGTTCATGGAAGGAGGGAAAAAATGAGAAAAAGAAGGTAAGAATATCTGCACAACTCACAGAATGTAATCAATATCACTGAATTATACATGCAGAAACTGTTGTTTGGCTGTGTATATTCTCAACAAAAATATTTAAAAATAAAAACAAATTTAAAAATGTCAGTATTATGAAAATGTTATGAAATACAAACTCAAGACTGTTACAGATTAAAGAAAAGTAAATGAACATGTTCTTTTACTATAAAACTCATTATTAGGACAACTGGTGAAAGGAGTTCTGGTGGGATGGTGCCTAAGGCATTTCACTGTTAAACCAGAAGGCTGGTGGTTCAAACCCACCAGCTGCTTCCCAGAAGGAAGATTGGGCAATCTACTTCTGTAAAGATTTACCACCTCAGAAACTTAACAGGGGTCACTGTGAGTCAGAATCAATTTAACTTGATGGCAGTAATTTTGGTTTGGTTTGAATTTGGTGAAATATGAATTAGATCTATAGACTAGATAAACTATTAATGTTAATGTCCTCATTTTGGTAAGCACATTTTGGTTATGTAAGAGAATTCCTTGTTGTTAGGAAATACACAATGAAGTATTTAGGGGTAAAGGAGTATCATATCTGTATCACTCTTAAATAGTTCAAGAAAAAAACCACATATACACACATATATGAATCTAGAGAAAAAGGCTACAATAAATGTAATAAAATATTAATAATCTAGGAGAAGGGTATCTGAGAATTCTTTGCACTATTATTACAACTTTTGTTAGTCTAATTATGTCAAATTTTGTCTCTACAAAGTAAGGCCTCAGGTAACTGAACCTGTATGAAAGCCCTAAAAGCCCTCCCCACTGGGTCTCCTACTCAAGTTACTAAAAAAGGCAGTCATGCAAAGGACTGTCCGGTACCTTGCTGTTTATGAAGCCGCTCCAGTTCAGTCCTGAGATAGTACATCTTCTTCTGGCGTGCCTCTCGGTCACTCTTCAGCTTTTCCCTCTCTTCAATAACCTGCAAAGCACAAAGTGAAGAAGAGTCCTTTGCTCTTTAACATCCTCCTTTTTCTAATGCTGTCTCCTGTAAACTCTCATGCTAGGTAATATCTGAATACAAGGATCAGAAGGCCTGCTCCCAGAGGTTCTGACTTTACATTCAAAGTGATATTTCATCCTAATCAATTTTCAGAAGAGAATTATCCTTCTTTTCAGAATTATACTGCCCACAGAGTATTATTCTTACACAGGAAGCGTTATACTATTAATTTCAACCTAAGGCCACTGACAATAACTAATAGGTAGTGATTTTGAGCCTAAAGGGAATCATCAAGAAGGGAACTAATATGTGTTATGGTTAGGCACAGTGTTAGCTGCATTACATATATTTTATTTAATCTTCATGACAGTTCTTCTATTTTACAATAAGAAAACCAGAGGTTGTGAAAGATTAAGTAACTGACCCAAGGCTACACAGGAAGAGGAGATTTAAAATCTAGGTATACCTGCCCTGAAGCTCATCATCTTTCAACTACATCACTAACACCTGAGGGGGGAAAAAACATGGTTTATTTATCACAGGAGAGTGTGAAATAACTGACTTAAGTGCTACCCTCTTTAGAGGAATAGTAAAGGCCAACAGGCTCAGTCTCCAAACAGTGTCTCTGAAGTCTTTAAGTTTTGTTTTTATTAAATCTATCCCCTCCTTCCCAAAAGACTCCAAATAACTAAAAACTCTAGTTCAGGATATCCCAGGATAATGGAAAATTAAGCGAAAGTTTGTTTGTTTCTTCTCAAGAAGTAATTTTTTTTTCAACTAGGAAAAAATGAGATTGGCCCTCCAATTTTTCCTTTTCTTTTTCAATCTTTAGGTCTTGACTATTTTATGCACAAAACAGGTTTACATGTATTACATTTTTATGTTCTTAAACAAAATAAGTTATTAGTTATTAAGGACTTTTAGACTTTAGAATATGTATTAATTTCTCTATCCAAATTAATCCATTATGTATTCTCTGTTTCCACATAATTTTTACCTACTACCATGAAACACCTAGAATTATTTTATCTCTACCCTGGCTTCTGCTTCCTTACCAAAGTATAGAAATCCAATGAAACTTGATGGTATTAAAATTGCTTTTTGAGGTAAGGAGGAAAGGGGAAAGGAGGGGAGAGAACATTGCAAAATTTAAAAAATAATAAAACTAGTATTTCCCTTAAAAAACTGCTTTTTGAAAAAACGTTAATAAAAATATTATTATTCCTATACTCTGATAAATCAGAAGAGCAAAGTTTGTACCTTGGTTTAATTACCAAGCGATAACTAGTTATTAGCTTTTAATCTTTATAATCACTATAGGAAAAGGATTCCAAACTCCCTGGGATGAAATGTTTGAGTTTACTGATCCTCTTTCACCCAATCCAATTTCGGTTCTCCACCCCCTGAGATCATATTGAAGACTTCAAGTCTCTCAGCTCCTACTCACAATGTTAAGATTATCAATATGGTTAGAGAAAAGGCCATTAAAAAAAAAAAAAAATCTTGTTAATTACTGTGGGACCTAAGACCATTTTTTGGTCGTTTTTGTGAAATTGTGTGGGGGAAAAAAAAAACCCTGGGTTTATATACATCTACTTAGGGCAAATGACAGCAGCCTCCAAAAGACTTACAGTGAACTTGTCTTACAAAATTTCAGCCCTCTCACAAAAACAAGTACAAACCTGTGTTAAAACAAAAGGCACAGGCACAGAATACCCAAAGATAATACTTACCTTCTGCTTCTGAGAAGCACGATTCTTCTCATCAGAGATCTTTTCAGGATTATATCTTACGAGTGATGGGATGGACACCTGGACAGGCACTTGAACAGAAGGAATTGAGCTTAGCACTGGCTCCTCCTGCTTGGGATCATCAGGAGTCACAGTGGGAATCACACGAAGATTAGGACGGCTACGCGTAGCTTGTTTGGTAATTGGTATTACCCTATGTGATTCAGGTAAAGGGTGTTTTGATGGTTGAGAGGTGGGGTACAAGGGCCATCTTGAGGCTGCATATGCCATGTAGTGCCTATAGGCATCAAAGGAGGCAGGGGAAATGGCAGGTCCCTGGTAGTTTGGAGGTATCCGAGCTGCAGCAAACTGAGGGGTCCTTGGCATGTGAAACTGAGATAAAGAAGCAGGGTGTGGAAGTCTAATTGGGGCAGATGGGGCTGACTGCAACATGCATCTGACTGCAACAGATGACTGAAACCCACTGCCAACTACCTCTGGTCCTGAAACCTGACCCATTGGATGGTCAGACTTTAAGAAAGGGGGGCTGTTTTTTGTGAGCAGATAAGGATCCACAGGGGAGGCTGGGTGTGGATGGGACAACTCTGGGGAATGGGTACTGCTATGGTGTGCCTCCCTGCTCTCCAGTCTGTGGGGATCTGAGGAGCATCGATCAGATGAGAAACGGCGGTCAACTGAGGAACGACAATCAGATGAAAAGTGCCTGTCAACTGAGGAACGGCGGTCAGCTGAAGGATGTGATGATGGCTTCTTGCCATGAAGTCGTTCCTGGGTACGTGCAGCCAGCTTACTAATCTCTGCTACCCCTATATCCAGTCCTATGGTCTTAAGTAAGTCATGAATCTTGGTATATTCTGGATTGGTCTCTTCTAGTGATTCTCGCTTTATAGCTAGCCCTGAAGAAGGAAGGGAGCTTGTCTTCTGCCTCATAACTTCACTCTTGGAGCCCACAAGGGGCTTTGGTGGGGAATCTGCTTTTAAGTCCTCATCTTCATCCCCATAGAGAAATTTCTCCTCATCCTCAACATCAGGGAAGCTACGTCGCCGTTTTTCCTGTGTACTGGTAGAATCAGCCAACATGCTTAGAATGCGGGAAAAACCACTGCCATCATGGCTAGCCCTCTCATGGGGCAGCAAGAAGTCTGTGTGGCGTTCGAGTCCCTCAGTCTTCATATCCAATTTCTCCTTGTGGTACAGAAAACTTCCAAACTTTTCTCTAAGAGTACTGTTGTCTTTGGTCATCCCAGGGAGGGAACCCCACTGGTAAATGTTGTCTTGAGGTTCCTTCAAGGCAGTCTCCACCAAAGTCTCCTTGGTGTTCTCAATTTCTGAGGCAAAAGCAGCTATAGCACCACTTAGTGGAAGAGATGGGTGTCCAGAGTAGAGAGTATGATCCTGGCAGGAGCTGGTACTGCTGGAAAATCTCTCAAACTGCAAAGGCAAACATACTGATTTAGTGACTGTGTAGAATCTCAGAAGATGAGTAATTGAGATAAATACTTTTGTTGTTCCTGAATTAATAAGGGAGAAATAAGTACGAATGAAAGGGAGAGTATCCTGAGTGAGGCTCAAGATGTGTGTCCCCATCTTTCTAGTGTCTTTTGCTGTAACAAGAAGAAATAGGAAATGAGGTAGACTGAAATGAAACTACTTTTGCCCATTTGTTATACAGTCCTAATCAAGGAATCTGAAAGAAAAGAACTTTAGGGATCCTCTAGCTTATAGATTTTTTTTCTGTGGATCTCCAATAAAGAAAACATATGGAGTTGCCTTACTTAACAATAAGGACAGGAAACCCTGGAACTCTAACTGTTCAGCTTCCCCTTTGCTTCTCTACGTGTTCTTAGGCACTTCTTTAAGAAGTCTTTTAGCTCCTAAGAGCACAGCTGAAAACAAGTTCTCTTGCCTGACCATCTTTTCATGAGTGAGGAAAAAAATATCAAGGCCCAGAATGGTGAGGTGACTTGTCTTAAAAACAAAACAAAAAAATCACTCAAGCCAGTTAGTGGCAGAGTTGGGTCCAGGATTAGAATCACCTGACTTCTGGTCTAGTGTCCTACCACTACATGTCTTTTCTTTAAAGAGAGATAAGGAAATTCTGATCACCTCTTTCCTTTGCCCCTTAAGATTCATTTCCAAGAAATTCGTATTCAAAGATCCTTACAGAGGTATCCAGTTTAGGGGAAAAAACTTAACAGTAGGCACTTTCTAAAATATCTACTTAGAAAGCCTATTTATGGCAATAGAAACCCTCTTCGGAAAGGAGGGGTCGCTATGAGTCGGGTTTAACTCGATGGCACATAACAACAACAACTGATGCATTAAGGAGCTCTGGTGGAGCAGTGCCTAAGGCATTTCACTGCTAACCAGAAGGTTGACTATTCAAACCCACCAGCTGCTCCACATGGATGATAGGGCAATCTACCTCTGAAAAGATTTATCACTTTAGAAACCCAGTGGGAGCTGCTATGAGTCAGAATCAACTCAATGGCAGTGAATTTGGTTTTCAGTTTACTGATGCATTATGAGATCTATAGCTTCCTTTGGGGAATCCTGAAAGTACAGTTCTTGGAGTGACAATGTTGGTCCACTGGATATTACTCATACCCTTTGGGACAGAGCCCCCAGAAAAGCAACCAGGCTTTAAGGTATTAGAGGGACTATCAAGAGACACAGGAAGAAATGCTGCAGAGACCTGTATGGAAGGCTCCATGTCCACCTCAATCCGCTTCTTTAGAATGGACTTCTTGGGCATCACAGATACTTCCTCAGGCCGATGCAAAGAATATCCTGGCTCTGATGCTGGTAGGACACCTGACAATCCAGGAATGGGACAGCTAGTGCCACCACTATCAACTCCCACCAGCTCCTGACTCAAGCTCCTACTTCGTTCTTCCTCTTCCTCTCGCTTTCGTCTAGCAAGGTCCAGTTCTCGAAACTCAGGGTCTAGAAACCTAGGGCTTGGGCTTCGTCTACGCTGTCGATAGTTGCGTGTGCCTGAAGCAAAACTCAGGTGAGTGCCTTCCATGCTGTGTATCTTCTGTTCGTCGTCATAACGGGGCCGTTTGGCCTCCCGACCCCTCTCCTCAGAGCGTACAGAGTAGGAGCCTTTGAGTTTGTCTCTATTCCGTTCTGTGCTATGCAACAGCTCATCATGACAACTGATAAGGGGACTATAATCAGATCGACGCAGGAAAGTTTCTCTTGTTCGGTAGTCCTCATCAAGTTGTCCCAAAAAAGAACTAAGAGGCCCCTCCTCCCGAGAAATATATCGCTCAAGACCTCGAGAACATTGAGAGCTTCGAGTGAAGACAGAATCATCAGTTAGGTCATCCCTGGGAAAAGAGACAAGTATCACTGAATATAATGGACTTGGCAAGAGCAAGACCAGATAAGGCTAAGAGACTGACAGTTGGCAAAGGGGCTATAGAATACTTAAGGCAAAAGACAGTAATCATGAAGACCAAGAACAAATCGATGTATATCCATGGATTATTTCCTATTCCTTTCCCTAGGGGCACAAGCAGCTTCAGTTTCTAACCAAGGAGAAATACTATCTTGACAGAGCTCTTAGGATAATTTCTTTGACTGGACTTTGGGGAGGTATGAAAACACCACAAATAGACTGCAAAGAGCCTGAGGTTATACAACTCCACAATAGCTAAATTCTAGCTCCTTCCCACTCAAAGTGTGGTCCAAGCCAGCAGCATTAGTATTACCTGGAACTTTTTTAAAAATGGAGATTCATCCCAGACCTACTATATGAGAATATGTATTTTGACAAGATCTCCAGATGGTTTATACACATTTTAAAGTCTAAGAAGCATTGGTCTAGGACAATGGTTTTCAAGCTGAGTTTCACAGATTCTTAAAAGTGCTCAGAAGCTGCCTCAAAAGAAGGAAGTGCTGTGAATCTCCTAACCCATTTAAATCACACTAGCCCCAATTTATTCTATTTAAATATTAAAGTTCTATGTTGTCATGTGCTGTGGAGTCGGACCTGACTCATAGAGAGACCCCTTCTTGGGTTTCTGAGGCAGTAGTATCACTATGGAAGTAGATTGCCCAACCTTCCTTCCAAAGTTCTATACAGTATTTCATTTGGAAAAAGGGTTTGCTGTGAGGAAGAATTTTTTTAAACTACTGATCTATCTGATTGATTGGCATGGTTTTCTCAGAAGTTTTAGAGGATTCCCCCACTGCTTTGTCTTGATGGCTCAATTAAAAGCCACAAACTCCCTCAGCCTGTTTTATCATCTTCTTTCTTACCTTGCCTGGATATCCATACTCTGCTAATCTGCTAATCTTAAACCCAGGGAAGAGTAAGTGATACTTTGGCTCACTATATATTTTTATTTCAAAGAAGTAAAAAAATCTTGGATCTCTGTAGCATGGAAATAGAAACAAAGGATGGAGCATCTGTCTTTTCAGCACAGAACTCTAAGCCACACACAATAGTCTTAAGCTTTATGTGCATTATGCCCATAGAGCATCCTATGGTCCAAAACGGAAATTTCTGATTTAAATTATAAACAGAAATAAAGATCCTCTAGCACTTTAAGCATATAGCTTTTAAGTAATTTGAATGAAAAATTACTCACACTCTGGAGTGACAATTACCATCTAGAGGATAGTAATTACTAGTGTCATCTTCTCGTACCCTTTTATTGTTGTTGTTTGGTGTGTGAGTTTCTAGAAATGACCTTTTTTTTTTTTTTTTCCTTCATTTCTGTAGAGCTGTTTCCTATCTCTGGGGTGCAAAGTCAGCAAAACATCAAAAAGCTGCCTTTTCTTATTAACCAGCTCTGTTTTAGACCTGTTGTTGTTGTTGTTATGTGCCGTTGAGTCGGCCCCGACTCATAGTGACCCCTCCTTGGGTTTCCGAGGCAGTATCACTATGGAAGTAGGATTGCCCAACCTTCCTTCCGAGGAGTGGCTGGTGGGTTTGAACCGCCAGCCTTCTGGTTAGCAGTCAAGTGCTTTAGCCACTATGCTACCAGAGCTCCTGTTTTAAACCTAGGTAAGAGTTATAAACAACTTTAGGAAAAGCTATCAGAGATAAAGTTTATTACTTCCTCTGCAAAGCATGTCACCTTTGGGAATCTAGTCTCTGTTACCCATCTCCTCCCCAAGAATCTGGGGAGTCTTGAGGTCTCAAAGTAGTATGAGATAAAATCTCAAATCAAATTAAATGCAGAATGTGCAGAGGCAAAAACAGATTACAGGGACAGAGGGAAGAGAAAGTGGGGAGTTACTGCTTAATAGTCACTAAGTTTCTATTTAGGGTGATGAAAACGTTTTTGAAATAGATAATGGTGATGGTTGCACAAAACTGTGAATGTAATTAGTGTCACTGAATTATACACTTAAAAAGGGCTGAAAGAGAAAATGTATGTTATATATATCACGAATAAAAAAAAAAAAGAAAATAGTAATTGCAATAGTTCAGTTCTGTGGGTCTACTAGCCATAAACGGCTCTCCACACCTCTTTTCAGGGAGGAGCGTCCATGAATTAAACCACTCTATTGCTGAAACACCACCAACCACACAAAAAGTCTCTGATCATATCAGTACAGGAGAAAACATGGGCTCTATGGATAGTGGCAAGCTCATCCACACTTCCATGTTCAGCTTCCTCCTACAAGTATACATGTCACCACTAAATGACATATTAGTCTAGGATCTAGACTAGCACTAAATATCAAGAAACTAGAAATGAGATAGCTCTCAGAAAATTTCAGTTCCAGACTTGCAATCTCTGGCAAAAGGAGCCAAAAAAAAAAAAAAGAAAGAAAGGTGAAGAGTTAGAAGAATGAGTTATCATGCAAATAAAGACGGAAATCAGGTAGCTATTAGAAGCTCACATCTTTCCTTTTCATTCTCAAAGGCTAAGACAGAGAATTAGCTGCAATAAGAGTAGCCCTAAAAGAGCTCCCATCTCCCAGTGAAGAACCCTCCCTGATAATTAAGTCCATCTCTTTTCTAAAATAAGGTTTATTTTTTAAAAAAATTGGTTGTTGAGTGTGGGTGATACATACATGGGAGCAAATTATGTACAATATTTTCCATTAAAGCACGTTTTAAAATGTATGTAACATATGTCCACATAAAAGTCTGTACGTGAATGTTCACAGCAGCACTGTCCAAAATAGTCAAAAAGTGGAAACAACCCAAATGTCCATTACTGAGGAATGGATAAACAAAACATGGTATAGCTAAAGAATGAAATATTCTCAGCAATAAAAAGGAATGATGGAATGATGATACATGCTACAACATGAATGAACCTTAACCTCACTTTCTCTAACACATAATTCTAGGAAAGAAGATTAATGCTCTAAACTTTCCAAGAAAAAAACAGTAATTTTCTTAACTTAAAAACAGACAAGTGAAAAAAACCACTATGCTAAGTGAAAGAAGTTAGTTACAAAGGCTCATATATAGTACCATAATTCCATTTATATAAACTATCTAGAAGAGGAAAATCTATTAAAAAAAAGTAGATATGTGGTTGCCTAGGGATGGGGACATGAGAGGAAAAGGAGGGTGAGGATTAAAGAGGGCAGGGTTTCTTTTTTGGAGAAATGAAAATGTTCTAAAATTGGTTATAGTGGTGGACTCACAACCTTATAAATATACTAAGTTCCAATGTACACTTTAATGGTATGGTCTATGAATTATATCTCAATAAAGCTGTTAAAAAATGTACCTATACGATAAAAAAGGAAAAAAGGTCCCTCAGAGCCCAAATTTGTTTTTGCTAATTCCCCAAAGAACCCCAAGAAAGTGGTTTCCTTCTGTCTTTTCCCTAAGGCAAATCACAGGGAAAATAAAAGGTCCTACTGACTTCAATCAATGTCATGGGTAAGGAGAAGGAGTAAGGAGATAAGAATTCAATGAACGGAACATATGATGTGTAAGAGTTCTTTGATAACCAACCAGAGGAAATCAACTTCATATCCCCAGGCTTTTAGAAGTTAAGTGTCTCAGACTTTCTCACGTAACATATTCATGCTCCCTTCTCAGAATAAGTAACAGTCCTTCCAAGCCCAGGCCAGAGACAACTCTGGCAACTTGGCTATAACTCAAACTTAACAGATTCTATAAAGCAAGGGAAAAATATCAGGGCCTCAGGGAGAATAAAGGATCTATATACAAAGGATAGAAGTAGCTTGTTTCATTGGCTGAAGACTTGACTCACTGTCAGGAAATATCCAGTTTGTCAAGGGTTCTGTGGCCTGGTTTTAATGGACAGTAATTATCCACAGAGACCAAACTAAGCAAGAGAAAAGAAATGTGCAAATGTTCAGGGAGCAAAAAGTATAAAGTATAAAGAATGGCCTCGAACTTCCTTTCACAACTTTAACCTCACTTTTTCTAACACGTAATTCTAGGAAAGAAGATTATTGCTCTGAACTTTCTAAGAAAAAAACAGTAACTTTCTTAACTTAAAAACAGACAAGTGGTTAACTGGGCACATATGCATAACAAAGTTTATACAAAAGGGAGATGACACCGCAGCTCTAACAAGAGGAAATGCTATAGTTACCTCAAAACCTCAGCAAGGAAGGAATAGAATCACACCATGCACCACCTATCCTGAATGCCTTCTCAATCATCTCCCAAAACAGAAATAGCTACAAAGGCAAGGACTGTTGCCTCAAATAAGTGATACAGTCATATACCTTGAAGCCCTATTTTCAGAAGTTTCAGTATTATAGGGCATAAGACTGTTATCCAGAGCCACTGGAGCTTTGAAGTAAATACTACTCAAGTACAGCACTGGTCCTCAGACTTCCTGCCCAGCTCTGCCCCACCTGCCTGCCTATGTTCTGCACATTACTACACAGGCAGCGTGTTTGAAAGGACATTACATAGTTTTATCGCTGCTGCCAATCATTTGTGAAAGTTCCCGATGTGCTGGGCAGAGAGGATAAGAGACATGGTCTCAGCTTTCAGAAAAAGTGCTTTCTTCCAAGCTCATCCTCACATTTTCACTACTGTGAGGTAAAAATCACCTACTTACTTCTCATACATAATTAAGTTCCTAGTACCTGAGATCTACATTTAACATTATGTGGAGTCTATTTACTCCTTAACACCCAATAGTTGTAAAGTAGTAAATGAACATACACATTTTTAGATTTCTAACTTCCTTAATATTAATGCCTTACATATTCAGTAAACAAACACATATTAAACACATATTTACCTAAACCCTTTCTAAATCTGTATTTCAATTTAGACAAGCTGAAAAACACCATTAAAAATGATTTCCTATGTTGTTCAGAACTTCTCCTTTTTCAGAAGGGACCCCTAGTTATAATATTTCAGAAAGCATATCATCTCAACTCTTTCTGATTTAGGGGACTCCATGTCCCCTCAGTCATCTTCTTTCCAGCTGGATCAGGATTCTACATAATTCTTTCTGCAACAGAGTCCATATCAGTATACTCTTCCCCCTTAGAAAGTCTTTTCCATTATTATACTTTATACTGGACACATGACCATAGAGTTTAACTTCAGTGCCGGCACTATCTTTTAAAATACAACACTCAGAAAACAGCAACATTCTTGCCTTCAAGGACTATTACACTGCACCCTGCCTTGGAAGAAGCCTACCTGTCCACATCTTCCAGATTATCCACTGGTGATCCCAGCCTATCACTAAGGCGCCGCCGTTCTGGTGTGCCAACACAGAAGTGGTCATTGCCAACAGTGATCCTTAAACTCTGCTCCAAGGAAGAATCAGAATGCAGACCAGGAGAGCGTCTCTACAAAAGTAAAAGATACAATGTAGTCAAGTAGGATCATGACAACCCTACACCCCAAAATGCTCTTCTTCCTAGTCAGAAAGTATAGTCCAACAAGGTAAGAAATGATTATGGTAAGATCCCACCCATGGCCCTTGAGTCGATTTTGAGTAGAACTGCCCCCAGAAGGTTTCCAGGGCTATCTTTACAGAAGCAGACTGCCACATCATTCCCTACAGAAAGGCTGGTGGGTTAAAACTGCCAACCTTTTGGTTAGCAGCTGAGTGCTTTATCCACTGTGTATACTCTATGGTCAAATACTACTTCAAAAAATAAAGAACTTTTTTTAAAAAATTTCATTTTCTTAGCAATAAACGCCCACACCTCCAACCCTACCAATCAGTGACCTCTCATTCTTTCACTGACTGAGACCAGGTAAAGGAATAGAGAAATGAAGAAAGCCCCTGCTCTCAGAAACCTATACATTGTAGTGAAGCACATAAGGCAAAAAAAAAAAAAAAAGGAAACGTATTTCAGAAAGTGGTAAGTGCTATAAAGTCATAAAAATATTACATGAAAGGGATTGGGGAAAAGGAGGAACTACTTCAAATAGAATGGTTAGAAAAGGCTTTTCTGAGATAAGGTCATTTCACCTAGGCCTGACTGATGAGATGTCAGCCTTGAAAAGAAAAGGTAGAAGGAAGTTTTGGGCAAAGGAAAGTGTAACCTTGGTAATGAGCTTAGTAACAGAGCCAGTATGGCTACAGCAAAGTGACTAAAGATGTAAAGATAGGCAGAGGCCATGGTTAAAAAACATGTATTTTATTCTAGTGTATTAAGAAGCAATGAATGCAAGTTCAAATTGAAGACAATTAAAACAAGTCCACGAGAGCCAAAATATGACCTTGATAATATCCCTCCTGAATTTAGAGACCATCTGAAAAATAGAGTTGATACACTGAACACCATGGCTGAAAACCAGAGGAATTGTGGGATGACATCAAGAATATCACCCATGAAGAAAGCAAAAGGTCATTAAAAAGACAGGAAAAGAAGAAAAGACCAAAATGGATGTCAGAAAAGACTCAGAAACTTGCTCTTGAATGGAGAGTAGCTAAAGCAAATGGGAAAAATGACAAGATAAAAGAGCGGAACAGAATATTTCAAAGAGCAGCTTAAGAAGACAAAAATCAATTATTATAATGAAATGTGTGAACACCTGGAGTTAGAAAACCAAAAGGGAAGACCATGCTCAGCATTTCTCAAGCTGAAAGAACTGAAGAAAAAAAATAAGTCTCAAGTTGCAATACTGAAAGATTCTATGGGCAAAATATTGACTGATGCAGGAATCATCGAAAGACAGAAGGAATACACAAAGTCATTGTACCAGAAAGAACTGGTCCATGTTCATCCATTTCAGGAGGTGGCATATGATCAAGAACCAATGGTATTGAAGGAAGAAGTTGAAGCTGCATTGAAGGAAGTGGCAAAAAACAAGGCTCCAGGAATTGACGGAATACCCACTGAGATATTTCATTTAACAAACAGATGCCATGCTGGAGGCACTCACTCTGCCATGCCAGATTTGGAAG